AATATGCAGTCAGATAAAGTCTTCAGAAACTGCCTGGGTCCAGAAAGCTACTGCAAACTTAGTTGACGGTGGAAGTCAAAATAGGAAGCAGAGACGTTTAGGAGATAAATTCTGCATATTCATTTTTAAAGATGCCATTATAATGGCGTTGGAAACAAGGCATCTCTAAACAAATACTAACCCACCCGTTTCTGATTTGGTCAAGGATAATAAACCAAGATAGACACCATACACACCTGACGCCATACACACCTGATGGCCAAATTGAGAACATGTACGCCACACCATGCAGTGTTCGCAAAGGTGTGGAGGGAGAGGCCCATTCGCTGGCTGTAGAAGAATAACTGGATTATGTAGGGAGGGCTATTTGACATTGAAAACATTAATCATTTCTGAGTCCACTGATTCATCTTAGAACTGGTCCCACAGAAACTGCACAAGAGGGACAAGCATAAGGACAAGGACCGTGGCTGCAGCAATGTCTGCAATAGTGGAAAACTGGATACAAACATCCCACAAGAGGAATCTGTTGAAGTACACAATGGTATGTCATCCGATGGAAAACCATGCACTACTGAGGAGCATGATGCCTATGCCAAAATGTCTGAGAATATAACACTTAGGGGGAAGCATGTTTCAAGACAGTGCACAATAGAATCCCTGTGAGGTTAAAAATTAGATGTTGTCATGTTTTTATGGACAGTATATTTTTAACGATACCAGATTTGGTCCACAAGCTCTTCTGTTGAGATTCTCTCCTTTTTTTCTTCACCCGCGACACCTGTGGGAATGGCTATAACCTCACTCTGCTATGGCCACTGTTATCCCCCATGTTTTTTTTTTTTTTTTTTTAGTCACTGCCTTACAATTGTACACAATGGTGGCATTCATTGGTATATATTCACGCATGCATACAATGTAATTTGGCCATTATCATTCCATTTGGGATTTCTCTTACTTGTTGCCCATGAAACCTGTCAGCCTCATGTATAAATGAAGGCGTTGTGCTGGTTCTGTCCCCTGGAGAAGGCTGCTTGCAGTGAAGAGAACTCAGTCATGTGCAGGGGCCACACAGGCTGGATGTGGAGGAGCCTGGTGCTGCGGCTGTTTGGGTGTATTGTAAGCCTCTACCCGCTGCCTTCTGCTCAGGTATGCAGCTTGTGCATAGAAGACCTTATCTCTTTCCAGGGAGATCCCTTTCTGTTTAAGCTATTTGGGCACATTTCTGTCCTTGGCAACTCAGGGTCTTTTTTTTTTTTTTTTAAGAGAGAGAGGAGAGAGGAGAGAGGAGAGGAAGGGAGGGAGGGAGGGGGAGGAGGAGGAGGAGGAGGAGGAGGAGGAGGAGGAGGAGGAGGAGGAGGAGGAGGAGGAGAGAGAGAGAGAATTTTTTTATATTTATATTTATTTTTCAGTTTTCAGTGGGCACAACATCTTTATTTTATTTTTATGTGGTGCTGAGGATGGAATCCAGTGCCCCACGCATGCCAGGCAAGCACGTTGCCCCAGCCCATAAGGGTCTTCACTAATAAAAAAAAAATGCAGTTAAGTATGTGGGCCTACACCCCAAACTGTCCTTTCCAGTGAGGGTCCTAGCATGGAGAACTTTTACTTTGTGTACTATGCATTTTGTAATGTTGGAGTTTAATTATTTATTTTGATGATATGCCTACAGTTATTTTGAAATTGGGACGTTAAGTCTTAAAAAAAATAAAAGAAGCATATTTCATGTCTCTACCATATTCTCAAAAAGTGACAAAGACATCTGAGCAGGAGAGTTGGTCACCACCCAGTCATGTCAAGGAACATATCTCAGGTAGAGATCTTACCATCACTACAAAGTATTAATCTCTGGGATTTTGGATGGATGCCCTTGATACTTAGATGGGAAACTACTTCCTTTTTAGTAAAGGTGATGTTACAATAGTCAGATCTAGTCCCAATCAAATTCCCTGAAGCTTACTGATGGGGGTGGCAGAGACCTATCCTAATTAGATGACTATTTGAAGCTATTCACCTTTTCATTTGACATAAATCTACTGTCCTCAACTGCTCTTTCTGCCCCAGTGCAACTTTACCTTAATCCAGACCAGATTAGAGGGAGAGGGCTGGCCTCTCTGGAGCCCTGTTACCTTCCATTATAATTAGGGGATCATGCCCCAGTAGGAATGACCAGCCAGGCAGTACCCCAGCTGCACGCAGGTACACAGAGGCTCATACGAGGTCGCGGTCACCCTTCACACATGGCTCAGCCCGGCCCCCACCAAGTGCTAAGACTCGATTCCAGCCTCTGTGAGAGTAGGCTTGCTTGGTTCTGTCTGTCTCGGCTGCTTATCCTTTTGTGGATTTAGGTCAGTGACAACACTCCCATATTATGAGCTGGGACTGCAATGCTTCATGCAAAGGTAGGCTTGATTGAGAACCCCCATTTCAACTTCCTAACAATTTAGCCCATTTGCCTCTTTGTTATGACATGTTGACAAAATTGCCCAGGCCATCAACATTACCTAGTTACTCTGACCACAAAGACAATTATGTTTCTGATGAAGCAGTTGCTATATTAAAAAAAAAAAAAAGAAATAGCAAATAGCAATGTCCCTGGGCTTCTATCAACAGAGCCAACTGAGTTTTATTCTCCTTGCTGGTAAACTACCCCTTTGCTGCTCCTTCCTAAAAGGAGCCTCCCTCCTGTCCTCAGGTGCTGACTGTGTGTGCCAGAGGCCTGACACACAGCATTCTTTTCCTGAGACAGTGGGTAACAGTGCACGGACTCTCTGACTGGATGCTCTCTGCCAGCTGGTCACAATGGGAGAAAAGGTGATTTACTGGGACACATAATGCACTATAATAGAATACTTTTTTCTTTTTTTTCCCATAACTTGACATGGGGAATGTCTAAGTCAGAAAGGCAAGAATTACAAATAAGATTTCTGGGATTACTGAACGTGTGAAAGAGAGCTGGTGGTTGGGAACTTCACCCTGCACCCATGTTTAATATGAAATATTGCAGTTGTGTCAGGTTCTGTGAATGCGAGGTGCCATGTGAATGTCCTGTGTGTGGTTCTCCTGTATCCTCTTCTCTGAGTTGCCCTGAGGTGAGCAGGAGAGGGAATTTTTAAGAACTGTGTGGAATCAGAGCTAAGATGGAAGACCCAGTTGAGACTGGGTCATACTTTTGTGAGGTCATCTTTAAATATAGAGATTCTGTGTTCTGTATTTATCTCAGCCTCTAGAAGTCTACTGCCAAAGATTAAGTTTCTCTGAGAAAATGTTGTCAAAAATCAAGGCTCACCTATTCCATAAACCATTTCTTCTACCAAATACTTAAAACCGGGATCTCCATTAACAGATGGTGAGAGAACTGCACTTCTGACTCTGAAATGGTCTCTGATTCATATTAAAACAATAAAATTATATTAGGGGATGGGGAAATATGAGAAAACACACAAACCTCATAAGCTACCAAAACGGTGTACGTTCCTGTCAACCCAATTCACTAATTCAACAGAACAGCCTCGCTGACAACATGAGGACTACATCTCTATCTAAACGAACATGGAAATTATGGATTATACACTCTGGAAAAGTCATTAAGAAGCATCTGCTTTCTGTGTTTAAGCAGAAGAATATGATTTCCAGGAAAAAGATATGATCTGTGTTTCACTGAATTAAGACAACTGTTGCTGGAGTTGAGAGGAAATAAGTCCCCTTGTGTTTGTGGACACCTGGCCAAGTTCAGTATTAGGACTGTGGCCTCTTGTGGATGCAGGTCCAATACAGGTAAATGAGGCACTCGGCTGGGTCCTGCCAGTGGGAAAGAAATGAGAGCATTACACTGCTTTCAGGTACCGAGAATACACCAGCATTTCTCCTTGGGCTTTTAAGATTCCATCTACCCTTAAGTGATTCTGGTCATTTGGCATGCAAGGACACTGTCCAGGAGTGTTATGAGATCCAGTGTGGTGCAGGGGGAGGAACTGTAAGCTTGACCTCAAAGTCCTGGATCTCCCTCTGGGCAGCCATGTGACCTTAGGCAAGTCGCTTACAGGGCTCTGGGCCAAGGTTTTCTCATCGGTAATGGAGTACCCTTGTCTTTCATGACTTGGAAATTCCATTAGAATCTCTGACAAAGTGCCTTTTAGACTGAGAACTAGTGTATGAAGGGAAGGAATTTAGGGCTTTGATGGTAAGAAATGATAACTGGAAAAGGTTTCATTCTGAATCCCCATCCCCCATCCAAAGGGATCAAAGAGCTTCAGCAAATTATATTTCGCGAGGTCTTCACGGCTCTCCTCATCTTTTTCAAGTACCCACTTTAGTTCTCTAGATTGAGATGGGGAACTTGACCTCAGGTTCATGATTAAGAGCTTGCTAAGCACGTGCCAGGAATGTGGCATCACTCTAAGAGGCAAAAGAAAGGACAGGAGAGGCTCTTGCCTGAGAAGAGCTTATAAAGCCCAGAGGCACAGGAGGGAAGGAGAGTGGAGTATGGAACTGGGAGAAGTGGGCTGGGCCTGGGATTCCCAATGACTGTAGCAGGCAGTCCCTTCGCCACTCCAGGTGCTAAGAAATCAAGAATTACAAGGAAATGAAGAACAGAGTAGTACAGGAAAAAGAGCATCAGACAGAAATGTAGATGTATGTTCCATCTTTACCACATTCTGGAGCAAATCACCCTTTTTCTCTTGAATTCAGTTTCCATGGGAGCCAAACAAGGCCACTTTCTAGCTCTCCATTCTCCTTTTTAAAAATTTTTATTTTATTTTATTTTATTTTTTATTTTTGCAGTGCCGGGGATCAAACCCAGGGCTTCACACAGGCCAGGAATGTGCTCTACCACTGACCCACGTGCCCAGCCCCTCCACCACTTGCTCTGTTCCTCGGACTCCTTGGATGGAGCTGGTCACAGCCTGAAGGGAATTCTGCCTGACTCAAGCCAACTATGTGTCATGCCCAGTGAGGAAAAAAGAGGTCCCTGCGGGGACAGGGAGGCCACCCAGTACCTGGTGTGGCTGTTGGATGACAGGCTCTCCCAGGGCTGCACGCTGCAGCCGGCCACAGCGAAGGCTCCCCCGCAGCTGCCGTCCAGCTTCATGAGCAGGGCCTTGGCGGCGTTCTCGGCCGTTTTCCTGCAGTCATGGGCTCGTTTGAGCATCTGAGTGATGTTTTCATCCCCCGACTGGTCGCCTACATCACAGAAAAGCCAATGGATTAATCAAGGTTGGCCTGAAAGAGGGAACAAGCCTGCATAAACACGTCTCGGTGACTCAGCAGAGGTGGCACACTGGGGAGCAACTGGCAGTGGCCCTTCAGTGAGGAGACTTGCGTTCTGGGCCTGGCTCTGACCCCGTATTTGGGAAGGCATTTCTCTGCTCTGGGCTCCACTATCCTCATGGACAAATGTGATCTCCAAGGTCAGTTTCCAGCTCTCACGTGCTCTGTTCATCCAGGCTCCTGGCTTCTCCTCCCACGCAGGCACAAGGCCACTGTGCATGGGATCTTTGTGAATGACAGCAGGGAGAAACGGAGGCAAAACTGCCATCTCTCTGTGTCAACAACTTCAGTTAAGAGACTGATGTAGGGCTGAGGTTGTGGCTCAGCAGTAGAGCGCTCGCCGAGAATGTGTGAGGCATTGGGTTCAAATCTCAGCACCACATAAAAATAAAAACAAATAAAAATAAAGGTATTTAAAAAAAAAGAGGGATTGATGTAGCGGGGGGGGGGGCTGGGGCTGGGGCTCAGTGGCAAAGCACTTGCCTGGCACGTGTGAGGCACTGGGTTCGATCCTCAGCACCACATAAATAAATAAAATGAAGGTATTATGTCCATCTACAACTAAAATAATATATATATTTAAAAAATGATTGATATAGGGCAAAAGAGACCAAGCTAACGGTTCAAATGAGAACTTCAGATTTTCCGTGCTGATGCTATCCCTGACCTTCTCTGCTTGGTAACAAGAGGCCCACTCAAATGCCTCCAGGAGCCAGGAGTCGAGGCTAGAGCAGGAAATGGAGCCTGGTGGGCACCAGCACAGAGTCAGGCAGTGATGTCCCAACCTAGGATGTTCACATTTTTCTTGTTTTAAACATTGTTAATTCAAGAGACATTAAAAAGATCAGTGGTTGGGGCTGGGGCTCAGTGGTAGAGCACTTGCATTGCATGTATGAGGTGCTGGGATGGATCCTCAGCACCACATAAAAAATAAATTAAAGGTATTGTGCCCATCTACAAATAAAAATGTATGAAAAAAAAAGATCAGTAGTTGCCAAGGGTTGGGAGGATGAAAGTGGAGAGGGAGGAAGGAATAGGTAGAGCACAGTGAAACTACTCTTTCCAGTATTACAACGGTAGACACATTGCATTACACATTTGTCCAGACCCATAGAAGGTATACCCCCAAGAGTGAACCCTAATGTAAATTCCAGACTTTGGATGATAATGATGTGTCAACTTAGGGTCATCAAGTATGACGAATGCATGGCTCTGGTGGAAGCATTATCACTCTAATGGCAGAGGCCTTCCATGTGCAGGTGCAAGGGCTAGGTGGGACCTCTCTGTACCTTCCTCTCAATTTTGCTGTGAAACTAAAACTGCCCTAAAAAATAAAGACTTAAAAAGAAAAAATGCCAATCACTGGCTACCTATAGAGCACATTTTTCCAAATATTTTCAAATGAAATCATTAAATTTTGCATGCTGAACTGCACAGAATGATAAATGTGGAACTGGGTAAAGTGGGCATAGATGGCCGAGGTACACTCAGCTTCTTACCCTTTGAAGCCACTGCTGAGGCCCAAAGAAACCCTTCCAGCATCCTAGGTCACAGTTCGAAAACCACTGATCTAAATCATCTAGAATGAACGTAATGAGTGCTTGTGAAGTCAAGAAGAAACAAAGAACACCATCGCAATAATTGATACTGTGGGTAAATGTCACAGACCAGCTCTTGCTTAGATGGCCTGGTGGGGCACAGTGACAGATCTGTGCCGTTGTCAGTGGGATGGAGTGAGATTTAATGGGGTGGCTGCTAAATATGAAGACACCCTTAGTGCTATGGAGAGTGGTGAAGAAGTGGGGTGCATCCCACATCTACGGCTCCCTGGACTTTCCTCCCACAACCTGCATGCCCTTTTTCTTTTCACAAAGATACTTCACAGACATCTCACCAGCTTACTGCTATTTGAATTCGGTTCTGAAGTAGGCATGAGATTAATGACAGGTGGCATCTTATAAATACATAGATGAGCCACCCAGTATTAGGTAAATACAAAGCATTTTTAAGATTGATTTTAAATCTTTTAAATGCAGGTTTATTGAAGCCATTTCAGCTCCATGTAACTGTACTCAGTAGGTAAAAGGTGTCTTTAAAGGACGGAACAGGTTAAAACACTGCTCTGACACAAGCTAGAATTAAGATGGTTGATTTGTTTTCTCCTTAATTGATCATTTTTCTACACACACACACACACACACACACACACACACACACGACTGACAGCAGGCCAAGATCAAGATCACTTTAGGATCTGTTTCATATGAGGAATAAAGTTTTATGACTCAACTAAAGGACCCTAAGAAATGAGGTTTCTAATGGAAATGTTGGCAGAGTTTCTACTTCTAGGCTGAGACTGGTAATATTAACAAAAAAAGAAAGAAAGAAAGAAAAAATATTCGGGGGGAGGAGTCGAGGATGGCCATTCATACAAATGAAGGCCTGCTCCATTGTGGGGTAACTTAGATATGAAGCAGGAAATTAATGCCCAGCTTGTTTCCTTTCCTCCAGATTTGATTCAGATTCCTGTGCATGTTATAACCAAAGGAGCAAAAATATGTTGAGTATTCACTGCAAAAGCTAGACCCCAGGCAGGCAAAGGAGCTGGCGAGGACAGTGGGGGCATTTAGAAGGTGCTTTGGTGGTGGCCTTCTTTGTAAGGGGGATCCTGAAAGGACAGGCCCTAATGGAAGGACACAGCCCTTGAAGAGCTGTGGGCTCCTGAGCTCACAGCTCCAAGCCAGCCTGTGACAGATGGCCTGGGGCCGTCTAGCCTGCTCCTACTACCCACCCATGACTCAAGATTGACCTGGTCACTTTGGCTTCATGGACTTGCCAATGCCTTTCCAAAGAACTATAAGCAAGGTCATGTCCAGGCCCCCGTTCTGCACAGAGGGGGTGGGAGCCCTGCCCCTTGGTCTCTCTTCTCTATATCCACTGTGGTCCTCCTCACACCAGAGCAGGCCTCAGAGCCACCATCTGTGGCCAAGTCTAGCAAATTCTGTTGAGCCTAGGATGCCACACTTGCATGGTTTTTAATCACATTTGCCTTCTACAAATCAGGCCAAAAAGACACCTGAGTCCTGGGGTGGGGGCAAGAAGAGGTGGCAGGGAAGCAAGAGGGTGAGCACACACCTGCACTCCTACTCAGACTGGGCTGGTGGAGTGCACATTCTGCAAAGCCGGTGACAGCAGGCGTGAAACTATTCCTCTGCGTTCATAAGACACCTGGAGAAATGGTAGAGGAAACCCACCCTCCAAAACTACTAGAAGAAAGATTCTTAGGGATCGAGCACAGCCAATAAAAGCAGTATGACAAGACAAAGGCCACAGCAGCAGGGGGACCCTCCACAAATAGCATCACGGTGTGTCGGTGTGTTGGTCTCTTTAATCACTAGTGTGGGTCTCTGGCTCCATCTGGTCCTACTGTCAGCTCAGGAGAATATGTTTCCTAAGAGGGCTTGTTTGTTTTAACTTGTCTGTAATTCTGTTTCCACTCCAGTTCTTGCTGCATTCAACATAAACAATTTACCCACTCAGTCATGAGGAAAAACGAAAAACACACTTGACAAACGAGTTTGTGTTGCTGGGAGATGACTCAATGCCAGGAGCTGAGAAGGGGGCGGACGAGCACAAGAGGCTGGGAGAGGAGACAGGGAAGAGGGCCGGTGGGACTCGGGATACTTACCGGGGGAGGAGCCCACGCCAGCTGCTCGGAACTGCCCCAGGATGAGGCTCTGCTCACTCTCAGCCAATGCCAGGAGGAGTTCATAGGCTTCTATGCACTGCTCACTGAAATGGAAGCACATGACGTCCTCAGCTCTCGTGGGGATTGGGGAGCACATTCAATGCCAGCTCCATTTTCTGGATCTGTCTCAGCCTCACCGTCCTCATGAGTGAGAAGACCACTCAGATAGATTCCCTGGACAAAGTCAGTGGCTTGCTCTGTATTGCGGCCCTATTCTAATTTTTCAACTAGGTTCTAGAAAAATACAAGAGAAGCAATTTGGTTGTCCCGTTGATGATCAGCTAAGAGGGACATGTGATACACCTGAGGAGGTCAGACTCCAAGGGGGTCCCCCCATCCTGGTATACATACCCTGGCGCTGCTCCTTTCCATATTGGACCACTGTTGGTCTATGTGACTTTAGAGAAGTAGAAGAAATGATGTCACTCCTACGATTAGGTTCTTAAAAACACTGTGGGTTCCATCTTGGTTCCCCTCTCCTATTTCCTTTTTTCTCTCAGATCATCCTCTCCAGAGGAGGCAGCAGCCATGTCTTGACCACTCTCAAGCAGTGTTCTGGAGAGGCCCTTGTCGTAAGGAACTATGGCTTCCAGCTAAGAGCCAGGGAAGAACTGAGCCCCCCATGTGATTGCCACGCGGGAGCCTTCCCAGAAGCAAAACTGCAGCCCCAGTTAAGATTTCAGAAGATGCAGTGTCGGCTGACAGCCCACCCAGAACCTCCATGGAGACCCTGGCCCAGAATGACCCAGCTAAGCCACTCCAGGATTCCTAACCCTCAAGACTGTGACATGATAATCAGTCATGTGACAATCAATAACTAATATAAACCCCCTGAGAAGATGATTTTGACACAGACCTGCAGCTTATAACATCCACTAGCTACATGCAACTCTTTAAACATTTTTGAAGTTGAATGAAAAAATAGATTCACTCCCTTTAGTGCAGTAGCCACTTTCCATATGCTCAATAGACACACGTGGCTCATGATTACCATACCGTTCAGCACAGAGGGAGAACGTACCTTTCCACTGAAACAGAAAGTTCTACTAGGTGCTTGTAAAACTGCCTCACAAACACTCTCAGGCTTTCAGAAGCTCTCTCATAGAGTTGGAGTCTGGCTTTCTAGGGGAAGGAAAACCAGTCAAAGGACAGCCCCTGTCCCTTAGCCTGAGACACAGAGGGACCCACATGCAGACAGGAGGCCACGCATGTACACAACACAGACAAGAGGCCCTCAGTAGCAAGATCTCCTCCTTAAGCAAATAACTAATTAGCTTCCCCAAGCAGAATAGGGTAAATGTTGCTTTAGTGAACATGTAGTTGAGAGGCCATCTGTTTTTGATTGTCTTTACTTTCATGATTCTTTACTAACAAGTAAGAATAAGGGCCAAAACACTAGCTGGAGGTGATGGCAGTTCCTCCATGCAGGACAGTCCATATTTCAGGACAGAGGTGCTAGCTCTTCATCTATGAGGATGTGCTAATGGGAGGGAAGTCCCTTTTGACCAAAGGCAGACTGCAGGTAGAGAACAACCTCTGCTGACTTGTTGCAGGAGGGATGGGTGTGGGGACGCATGCCTACAACCCCAGAGGCTGATGCAGGAGGATCACAAGTTCAAGGCTAGCCTCAGTTACTTAGCAAGATACTCAGCAACAAAGTGAGATCTTGTCTCAAAATTTAAAAAGGGCTGGGGATGGAGCTTAGTGATGGAGTGTTCCTGGGTTCTACCCCAAGTACCATAAAATAAAACAAAACAAAGTTTAAAAACCCTATGACAATATGAGGAAATAGAGCACACTCAATTTGCAAAAAATGTATAATATATGCGAATATGAAAAGACCAGGAAGAACAAGTCAATATGTAATGCAAAAACTGATATTTTGAGTGACATTACTTGAATGAGTGATACCTAGGTTGCATATGCTGGTAGAAACATACCTGCTTACTAATACCATATCCATTACCCTCACTGTCTCAATTGCTCAGAGGTGATAACTGATTTTCAACGTATCATGCTAATATTTGCTGGTTCAACCCCTGAGTTAGTTACACCTTCTAAAAGCTGGGTTTCTACTTTTATGCAGAAGGTTACTATGGATGCATCTCCAAATTAAGGTGGCCACAAAAATATCACATGTCTTCCCGCCTCCTGCTCCCCCACCTGTACTGCAAGGCCAGCCTCAGCGCCGTGGCGTTGGACTCGTACTTCCCCACCAGCATGCTCATCCTCTCCGCGTTGCTTTTGCACTCCTCCAGGGTTATGGTCAGAAGATCATTCTGGGATTTGAGGTGTTCAATTCGGCTACGAAACAAAGAAAAATCACTTTCACTCTGGGACTGTAATTAACTTGTCAACATTATAGTTGTCTCATTTATATGCAGGCCAGAAATGAGTGTTAAGATTTGTTTTAGCAAATTTAATGGATACAGAATGATCAAGGAAATGACTCTACATAGAAGAAACACTAAATTCTGTATAGATTAGGAATAAAAAGCAAGCCCCTGGTTATTTCCCACACTGCTGTGCTCTTCACGTGCCAGGTACTGTATGAGACTCTGGGGATTTTAAGAAGGCAACAGATGTGTGACCTCAAGACCATCACCAGAGCAGATGGTATGCTTCACCATCACCCTACACAGGACGAATGAACTGCAGTCAAGGTTACTATTTGCTGAGTCTTTGCTCAATCCTGATCCTAGAGGCCTGTTGGATTAAGTATTGTTATCCCCATTTCTTTGATGAGGAGATGAAGGCACAGAAAGCTTAGCACCCTGCCCTGGGATTTGAACCAGTTAGTCTAGTTCCAGATCCCATGCTCTCAAGCACATATTACATAGCAGAAGCAAAAGATGAACTTGGTGAGTAAACAAGAAACTGCACTTGAGGGTCCCTAAGTAGGAAATAGGCCAGAACTGTGGATGGTGTCCAAAGCTCCTTCTAGGTTGGAGGTCCAGGAACTCTTAACTCTTGGTAGGGTCAGCAGTGAGAGCCTGAAGTTTTCTTAGATTCAGAGCTCTAATGCAAGGCAAATGAGTTTGTGGTGACATCAGAAAACAAACAAAAAACACTGAATCTTCAGTTTCTCCATTTCCCATCCTAGGACATGTATATTCTAGGTATGATGATTCATTTTCCATAAAAATGCCACATAATGCTCTTAGCACTAAGTCTTAAGGAGACATTGGGTTAGACACCCACAAAGTGCACGTGACTCTTGCAGTGTTTAGGGGTATGGAAACCACTGGCTTTCAGGATAAATCTCAGAACCACAGATTTGAGAGCAGAATATGGGGACACATGGAGACTTCTGGTGAGCGCATAAGTAAGAGCTGTTGGGCTCTGGCAACTCCAAGGTCAATTCAAGGTAGGGTGTGACAAGAACAAACTCTTCTGCCCCTGTTCACGTTAAGACTTCTTGAAATAATCTGTGCTCTCTTGTTTATGACTCCAGTGTACATTCAGTCCCTGCTAATTGGATGAAGCCATTTATGCAGCCCACAGAGTTCCATGTGGCCAAACCCCAAATGCTCCTTCTTAGAATGCCTTTCTCACTGAGGTCATGGCGCCTCTGCTGGTTTCATCCTGTCTCAGAGGCCATTTCTTAGCCTCCTTATTCCCAGGAAAAGCTGTGCGGGTTGGTGCTCCTTTAGGGCTCAGTCAGAGCTGTCTCCTTAACACTTTCACCTCGGGGTGATTTTTATTTAGTCCTTGACTTTAAGAGGCATTTCTGTTCCCAGGGTTTGCAAACCTCTCTAGCCCAAACTCCTGAGTATCAGTCCCACATATCTAGCTACCTGCCATATTTCCAGCTAGGTGTCACATGCCACCTCCAATTTAATATTTCAACAGGGAATTCTTGATTTTCCCCAAACTGTCTTTCCTCCCATCTTCTCCATCTCAGTAAATGCTACCACCATCTACCCAACAGTACAAGCTAGACACCCAAGAAAGACCTTTGAGACCAAGTATAAGCTAGACACCCACGCATCTTTGAGACCAACCTTTCTCTTACACCCAGACCTAATCCAGCTGGGGTCTCCACTGATTTTACATATCCTGAGCCCAGTGCCCACTGCGGACACCCTGATCCACTGCCATCATCTCTTTACTTCGGATCTTCTCTACCCTTTCCATTCTTTATTTCTGAATGATCTTTCAAAATGTAAATCAGGTCTCGTTCTTCCCATTTTAAAATTTAATCTAATAACCTCCAGTAACACATCGCATGAGTTATATAATTTGTCGATGCCCTCAAAATCCACATTCAAGTTGGTCCTTGCTTCATGACCACCTTATCTCATGCAATTCCTCCTTCTTCTCACCCTAGTTCAGTTCCACTGTTCTTTGGACTGAAATTCCAGCCAATTTCTTTCCAGTCTTGAGGTTGTTAAATTGGCCCATAAGAATCTTTGTGGTTTGTCATATAGCTGTTTCTTTCCCCCTATAATCTCAGAGTAAACCTTCCCCTCTTCAAGACATATACCAAAAATCCACTCTCGGGCCGGGGGTGTAGCTCAATGGTAAAGCACTTGCTTAGTGTGCAGGAGGCCTTGGGGTCCATCCTCAGCATTGCAACGACAGCAAAAAGGGAAATAAAGAAAAGTCTGTCACCGTCCTTTATACCCATCGAGGAGCTTTCTCATCTCATCTGCTTGCTTTTTGTCCATCTTCCCTAATAGAATATAAACTCCATGAGAGCAAGAACTTTGTCCATTTTGCTTTCTTTGCATATCAAATAGCCCAGCACATTGTGGATACATAACACACATGTGTTTAATGAGGAAATACACATCTGAGTAGGAATGCCCCTCTCCGCAGGGAAACCACAAAGTTGAAGGCTAGCATTTTTTTAGAGTAACGGGGCTTCAACTTTGAGAAAGGTAGTTAAAGAGAAGATACTAGGACATGTTGGTAGGTTATTTCTAAGAAATTCTAGGTTCCAGCTGCAACTACTATCACAGAGAGGACAGTGGAGGTGAGGTCAAAGGGCAGGGGTTGGAATTCTGCCTCAGTTATTCAATAGCTCTGGGCTTAAGGCAAGTCGCTAAATTTCCAACTGCAAAGCCTTTGTTTTCTGATTTGCAAAATGAGACTTCCTTACCCTCACAAGTTGAAGCATAGGTAGTTGTTTGTGAGAGCCCAAGTTGTTAACACAATAATGTGAGTTACAAGTACTAAAATATTCCCTCATCCTTTGGCCTCTCCTGGGTATACATAATTGAGGAGAAAGGTACATCCCCCCAAGTTCAGCTACAGAACAGGCTTATTAAATCCCAGAGTCAGTAGACAGCAGATTCTCACTAAAATGAGGGCCCCCTCAAAAGGCATCTGACTTCATTACATTGCAAAGGGCACATCTAATTTAATCTTTAAGCATTCCCAGGCCAGTGATACTGAGAAGCAGTACTTGCTGCAAGGTAATCATCAGGCTTGTCACTGTTAAGTATTTAGGATTTAATAAGGAAACCATTTAATTTAGAGATTTAAAATGACCTAGATTGCCACATTTCCTTAGTTCTCAAGATCTATATTAAACAGTTTCAATTCAGGAAGGACTAACGTGATATTTAATTTATTCAGCTTTGCCACACACAAGAGGAATGGAATGAAGCAATGGTGGATGGGAAACGGCATCCGCATTTCTTCATGGTTAGCTCATGAGCCTTCCAAGTCCTTGCTGTGCTCTCCCACTAAGGATGGCTAGGTCAAGGCAGTCCTACCATGCTTGGATGTGGTTCCACAGTCCGTCCTGCCATGACAGAACAAGGCCGTGACAGAGAGGTCACCATGGCTTGGCCCTGGTCCTTGTCCTTTGCATTTCTACTGACTCCCTCACGACTAAGCTGACATGCAGCCAGCCTTACCAAGAAGCAGAAGAGCAGACTCAAACTACCTCTGTCGTGGGAACTGGGAAGAATCCATGAAACTGGGCATATGGTAGATTTATTCTAAGTCAGACAGTTAGGATAAGATGTAGGGACCCAGACAAACAGCATAAATAAAGTGAGTCAACACGTGGGAATAGCAGGGAGAGTTAGAGCAGGGTGCTTAGCTGAAGCCCGGAACATCTCTGCCAGACTGCCTGTGCTGTTTCCTGGAAGCTCCAGGCGCCCCCGGGACGCTGACTCAACATTCCAGGACTTCCCTCTGTGCAGCAAGGGCCTGCGTGCTTGGCAGCCATCTGTGACCTACTTGCCACTCTCTATGGACTGCTCCCAGGACTTGCTATGTCATTTGCAAGGTCCAGGATGAAATGAAAAAGCAGAGCCCCTTGTTTGTAAATTAGTAAGAATTTAAAACGGTGACTTGTAAAGCAAGTGTGGAATTTTTCTAAGCACGAGGTCCTCTGGGAACACAGGTCACATTCCATGAGGTGGCCCTGACTACTTCAAGCAAGTCTCCAGTGGCCCAGATGGTGGAAACCCCCATCTTACTGGCTTGACAGCCTTAGTCCAGGCCACAATACACAATCCAACTGGAATGAACCTTTGGAAAAGTAAGGGAGGACCAGCTCTTGACCCCCAAAAATGAAGGACTGTTCCTTACCTATTTAGCCGTTCTGTCTCCACCTCAAACTCTCTAATCTTGCTTTCAGAGATGGCAGATCCATGGGAGTACAGCGTCTGGAAAATCTCTTGGATGTTGGAGCAGTCCTGAAGCGAGTGGGCCAGGTGTTCCGCCACGCTGCTCGATACCTGCACAAAGGAGTGTTAAATCCCCTCTGAAGCGTATCACTCAGGGACACTGGTCCCCAGGATCACTGCATGCACAACAACTTACAGCTAGGATTTCTTGATGTATCTTAGCTTTTATATTATAATCCTATCATAAAAAGCTAACTAATATGAAAGCAACACATAAAACACAAAATACAGCTACATCTCCTCAAGCATCTGCCTCTGAACAGCAAGAGGGGGGCCAAGATGTCTCCCTAGGGCCCCTGAAATTTTGGATAAAATTTAAACACAATCTGGGAGTCCTTCCCCTTTCCTGAACCCCCTGCCATTTCAGGCCACTGTCGATGGTTAACTGTGGCCAAAGAGGTTGACTTCTTTATTTTCACAACCTGGCTTTCACATGGAGTCTCAATGCATACAATTTGGGGAGTGGGGTTTGTGCCAAGTATTAACCCAGGGCCTGTGTGGACCAAACAAGCATTCTGCCATGAAGCTGCCATTTTGCTTAGTGAAAAATTTCAAATTAGGGTCTTTTAAAAGCCCTTTTCCACCCCTGAGGATCAAACAGCCCACTCTCGGGCCTCATGTCCAATCCTGTAAGAAACCCCTTCGGGAACTGAAACTACTCCCTTGTCACCATGGCTCAGCTCTTACACCCCAGCGGGTGGTGCTCCCACTGGGGACTCTGCTCTAGCAATGGCCACACTTCAAAGGCGGCTTCATCCTCACTGGAGAGCACGTTCCCTTCTAGAGGGATGTGCAAAAGGCACAGTTCTTTTGAGTTTCATGACTCCCTTGGTCTCTGGGGGACAGGGCGATGTAAAACAGATACTTCAAGATTTTCATTGACATCACCAGGAACTATACCAAAATGTTTTCTTTCTAAATGGTTTCAAGCGGGGGGGGGGGGGATTTCCCTTAAAAGCTGAAGAAGTAATTCACCACGTGAAAACCACTATACATTTTAATTTGACCCCGTGGAAAGAAATCAGGTATGATTTATCATTATCATTAACCAGTTTATTGGAAGTGAACTGCAGAAGTTCAGCCATCCAGGAGACATTGTCTATGCGGCTCTTAGGTGCCTGCTTCTCACCCACACTCACCCCTATGCTGCTGATTTCTGAGCCCAGCACTGGCCGATCCGACGACGAGGACTCAGATCTTGTCTTTGACAGCTTCACCCTCTCTGCAATCTTACGGAAGAAAACATTCATCAGAAAAGCACACATCACTCCTCGATCCACTGTCGCCGTCACGTTTACACAGGACCATGGTTTAACCACGTCAATTAAATTGATAACGTCATAAAAATAACTCCCTTGTCCAATTCTTCTACCATCAACTTAACCCAGGCTTCTCCACCTCAGCACTACTGATATTTTGGGTTAGATAATTCTTTGTTGGGGGTGGGGGGATGTGTTCTATGTATTGTAGGATATTTAGCAGCATCTCTGGCCTCTAGCCACAAGATGCCAGTAGCATTCCAGCTGTGACCATCCAAAATGTCCCCTGGGGACAAAATCACTTCTGTTTCACTCAACTTGCTAAATTTGAGGGCCAATGTTACTAGGGAAAGTGGGAGGGCTACTAGGCAAGAGGACAAGCATCCTTTGAATAGTCTTTCTGTAACAGACGCAACACAGGAGCTGGGGGACTATGGCAGAGGACAAGTGGGACACCTTCTCCAAATGTCTGTCCACTGTGATCTCTCTCTCTTTCTTTTCTTTTCTTTTTTTTTTTTTTTTTTTTTTTTTTTTTTTTTTTTTTTTTTGCTGTCAAAGCTGGTGGTCCATGAGGGGGCAGATCATTGGCTCATTCAGAGTCCCCACTGGGCTGAACCTTAGTCCTCTGAGAGTAACTGTCCCTCCACTGTGAAGTATTGTAGCACTTGACAAAACAGCTCACTGTCTGCAATGACTTGTCAGCTGTGACATTCTCCAGGCGGCTGATTAATGAGAGCTGGCCTCCAGGTTGTAGTCAAAAGAAACTTAAAACTATTAGCAGGTTATCTCTCCCTGCAGCTCCACGCGGGAGGCCTGTGCACAGTCCCAGGGGAAGCTCCTGGGCCAGCTGAACTAAGGGAAAGCCTTCACAGTGGCACTAGGAGGGGGCTGGGACTTTTAGATAAGGGGAGATGTTCTCCCCATCACTCTATCCCCAGGAGCTCACCTTGGCGATTGGAATGTCATTGCTGCTGCTGCTGGTGCTCAGCTCTCCGGTGCTAGGGTTAATTGGGCGGTTGGCAGACGTGAGGCGGCCAGGGCTGGAGGGACCTGCAGCCTGAACACTCTGCAGTCTAGTCTGAAGCTCTCGAACCTGAAATCAAAATTACTTTAGACGGGATTGGCGGTTTCCCTGGCCGAAGAATAAAAGAGCCAGATGGGCCGATGGCAAGGCTTTCCTTTACATTAAGGGATCAGCTTCACTGTAATACTAAATCGGCTAAGTTCACCTAAGTCACTGTATCCTCAACTGGACCTGCCACTGATAGTCATCTGTTCTTTACAAGCAACTGTGTTATCTAGATGCTGGAAGCTTCTATCAGTGCTCAGCTTCAGGGCATGTTTATTTATGCAGAGATTCAAGTGCCTAAAGCTGTGCTGGGCGCTGCAGAGAAAGGACTTGGGATAAAATCTTCACTCTCATGGGACTGAGAGCCTAGAGGAGGGGAGAGACAAATAATCTCTGCACAAGAGCATCTAAGTGCTAGAAACCCTCACCTTGAGGGTTACAGGCAATAGGAAAGGGGAGAAAGCAACTCCACCTATGTCACCTGGAGAGCATAAGGAAGACAGACAGCGGGCTTGAGGCGAGTCTCACAGATGAAGAAGTAAGAGGCTGGTTTGGGGGTAGCATCAGGGGGATGAGGGTGAGGATAGCCCAGCTTGCACAGGGGCCCAGGGTTGGGTGATGTGCGTGCGGTGTTTGAAGAACTGAAAGTTATGGGGGCTGTGTGGTTTTGGAGATTTTATGTGCTGGGAGGGAGGTTAGGGTAAGATGAAGGGACAGATGAAGCACCAGCAGCTTCCCCCAAATGACTTGAAATGGGCCCATCCCTGAAACAGTGGGAAGGAATATCTAAATAGCCCTTCATTATAAAAAAGAAACACCAGGCTCTTTGTATTACATTTAAGATATACATTTATCTGCACAGAATTCAAATATCCATGTCCCACTTCTCTATGGAGATAGCTCTGTGATTTCCAAAGGAAAAAAGGTTCCGAATCAGTAGAGAGAGTTTCGAGAAATCAGTCATTCGGATCACCTTGATCGCATTTTACTACCAGTCTTTATCTTAAAGGGCAAAGGGACTCCAGTACCCAGGGGCCATCACGAATGAATGGAGACCAGAGAAGAGGTTCCGAACTTTATGATGCGCCAGAATGCCCTAGAAGGCTTGTTAAAACAAAGATTCCAGATCCCCCAGCCCACCAGGATTCAGGTTTAGTAGCACTGAATGAAGCCAGGAATCTGTATATCTAATGAACTCCCCAGGGACGCTGCTGCTAACTGTAAGGGGTCCCCAAAGCCACAAGGCATGTTAGTCTCACAGGCTCGCAGCCCAGAGCCAGCCCTGCTGCCAAAAGCCCTTCCAGGCAAGGACAGAGAACAGGCACACAGCCCCCTTCACTAAAAGCCACTGCCAGGCTTCTCATACTAAATGTCTGGGATGGCTCCACCCTGCTAACTTGGGAACCAAAAGTAATTGAAATTTCAATAATTCATCAACATATTAGAAGCCAAAATAGGGAAATTCCCCTGGAGCAAATTGCACTCAATAGTGAAACAGCTCCAAAGTGCCTACTGCTCCCCGGCTCCCGGGGACTGTGGGTTGATGGCAGCGTGTGCCTTCGTCACCACCCTACACGTAGCACCCGCCTCGAAGCAGCTCACACACTAGAGAAACAGATCCTGCCGAAGCCAAGTTGTACTGCTGGTGAGAGATCACAGGGCACGTTCAGGGAGGGTTTCTGACAAACCAAAGAACAGCGTCAGTGTGGATGTCTCATTATGCCAGATGGCAAAGGAAGGGAGAGGGCCCATGTTCCTGTCAGGAGAAACCTCCCTGGTGGAGACTGTGGATTTCAATTTCCACTGCAGTGAAAGTCTGATGAGGTCCTGAATAATTAACAATGTTAACATCACTCCAAAACCTAAATTGTGTCTGAATTGTACACAAAACCATCAGTGGCCTGTCCTCAGAATCCCAAGAGGCCTACTCATTTATTTTATTTATTTTTAAATACAAATGGTCTGGCACTATTCATAAAAATTTCATTGAAACTTTTTTTTTTTTTTTGTACTGGCGATCGAACCCAGGGGCACTCAATCACTGAGCCACATCCCAGCCCTTTTTGTATTTAAGACAGGGTCTCACTATGTTGCTTAGGGCCTTACTAAGTTGTCGAGGCTGGCTTTGAACTCGAAATCCTTCTGCCCCAACCTCCCAAGTCGCTGGGATTACAGGAGTGTGCCACCATGCCCTGCCCCTGAAACTATGTTTTAAAAACATTTCTTCTAATCACAACATCGTATGAATCATATTCATTGTGGAAAATGTAGACAGTGAAAATTAAAACAAGAGAGGCACTTATGTTCTATTGGTGCAGAGACGATGTTTATTTGGCATACCATGGCCACTTGGCATGGTGTGCCAAATAAAATAATTTCTAAATCTAAATGTCCATTTTTACTTTAAAAGCTCTGGAGCCAGGGAATGTTCTGAAAACCCTAAAGAATGATAAACATGCTTATTTGGGGCTACGCTTTATTATTTGATGATAATTGTAAGGCAGTGGAGTGGGGGGTTCAGCTGGAGGGAGTTTGGTAAGCCTCTGCTGGAAAGACAGCTGCTGGATGGTTAGATGGCCTCCTCCCCCTCTTGATTTGGGGGTGGGGATCTCAATGAACTTACATGAATAAATACACAGAATCCAAGGCTAAGGTCAATTTGCTGAGTCAGCTCAGCAAAGCCTGGGAGAGGCACAGGCGCGTAGCTCTCAGAGCATTGGCTTTCCTTCTCACCCACTGGAGTGCATTTTGTCTTCCAAAAAAGATATGTTCAAATTCTAACCCACAGTATGTGTGAATGCGACTTTATTTCAAAGCAGGGTCTTTGGAGATACAATTAAGGATCTCTAGCTGAACTCATTTTTTTTATTTGGTGGGCCCTATCTAATGACTAGTGTCCTTAGAAGAGAAGGAGTGGGAGACTGAGACACAGGGAAGAAGGTCATGTGAAAACGGAGCCAGGGACAGGCCACAAGTCAGGGAATGCTAGGAGCTACCAGAAGCTGGGACAGGCAGAAAGGGTTCTCCCCTGAGCCTTAGGGCTCACCCTAAGATGTCATGGCTCTGCCACTAACACCTGAATTTTGAACTTCTGGACTTCAGAATGATGAAAAGAAGAAATTTTCTGTTAATTTGAGCTGCCATATTTGTGGTAATTAATTCATATACCCATCTTTCATTGAAGATTTTTTACTAAAGGAAATATGTTCGTTTCTCTATCAAATGTATGTCTTAGAGTTAGACAGTGGAGTGGGATAAAGATGGCCAAATATACTCCAGGATCTGAGGACAGCCAAGAATAAAGGCAAGCCTGAAGTAGGGGCTCATACTCATGGAAAGGCCATTCATCACCCTTCTTGGTCTTTCTCAGTTGGGTTCCTCAACAACAGGCAGGACCTGACCCAGGCTGCCACATTCCTCCTGAAATTTCTACATAGCCAGCGCCCACCCAGACGAATGGAAGTTGCTCTTGGAATAGCGCACGGGAACTCTGATACAGAGTATGAAGATGTGAGTTCTTATCTTCCAGGGGCTCAGAATTGAGCAAAACATCACAAGGCTCTGCAAAGGCTATCAACAAGGGAGTGGCAGTACAGATGAGGAGTCTGCCTTCCCTGCAGCAAAGGTGGGATCCCCTCTTGAAGGCTCAGTAGCCTTCAACAAGCAAGTAAAAAGGAAAAGATGGTGGGGGGACTCTGGAGAGCTCAAGTAAGGAAATGACAGTAAGAGGCCAGAACTCTGCTTCTTCTTGGTATTTCTTTATGGATTTTATAAGAATCACTTGATGAGTAAAGAAAAACTGGAATGAGGGGGGAAAAGTTGGTGAGAGCATTACTAATGAATGGTTCAGGTGAGAAACAACGACGGCTCAGACAGATAGTGAAGTGGGATAAAGATGGCCAAACACACTCCAGCACCTGGCTGGACACACAGAAGTTACCCTGTTCCATACACTAGAACCTGGTAGAGTACAAAGGTGAGATTCTTCTCTTCCAGATAGAACTTTCTGTCACGACAGGAAAGTACAGTGGCACTGTCCACTATTGTAGCCACCAGACACAGGAGGCTACCGAGCACTTGTAGCATGCCTACTGTACCCAAGGAACTGAATTTTAAATTGCATTTAATGAAGTTCAAATTTAAATAGTTGTGCATGGCTAGTTGTCGCTGTATCTGTCAATACAGTTCTAGCAATATTCAAAGAGGTAAAACAATCACCCAATCCTGCCACTGGGTGACTGAATGGATCATGGTTCTACTCAGCACAGGGGAGAAGGAGCTGATTTTTTCAGAGAGAATTGAAGATGTCAGCTTTGGACATGTTGAATTTGAGGTAACCCATGGGATGTGAGTGAGGACCTTCAGCTGACAATTAGATATATAAGCCTGAAGGAAGGGGATCAGAGCTGAACTTACAGACTTAGGAAATCTGGTTATGGCTAAGGCCCAGGCAGTGGGGTAGGGCAGTGGCCCGTGCATAGCTGGCAGAAGTAGAGGGTCAGTGGAGGACAGGAAAGGGGGCAATAAGGAGGGTGAGTTTGCCCTGCACAGTGAGAATAGGAAACACCCCATCTGATGGCTCTTCTTTTTTCTCTGCTAAGCATGAGGGAGAGAATTATCAGGTGTCAGGTATGATGACAAAGGAAGCTAGCTGACCTAGGGCCAAAAAAGAGAAACAGAAAAAAGTAAAAAGCGAGCTTACACAGCAAAACTGAGAGCTGGCTGGGTGGGCTCTTTCATTCTGGATGGCAGACTGAGTAAATGCGTGTTTTCTTCAAACACTGGAGACCTCATTAAAACCACAGTAAAGAATAAATTTTTAAAAGGATTAATACCATAACAGAGAAAAGAACGTGCTTTGGGCATTAGCAGAAACAAGACCTAGGCACATTTCTTAAAGGCCAAGTGGAAGGAAGATTCCAGTACCCATGGAGGAAACAGAGTGAAAAAATTTTGTGATGTACACAAAGGGAGGAGCCCAATCTACCCAGGAGGATGGCAGGGTTTGGATTCATCTTTGGCAG